CTTTGCTGCTCGCTGTCGTATAAACTACGCTGCTAGTCTTGTTGCTGAGTTTGAGTCTGTCTGTCCTCCGTCCGTCGGGGGTGAGTGTGCTCTTAGCACGGACGTCCTTGAGGACAGGCAGGAGGAGTTCCAGTGTTTTGCTGCTGCTTTGCCTCATCTCGTGTCCACGCTGATTGCCCCTGAGGGAGACCCGGATGCACCAGACATCCCGACTCCTCGCTGAGGCGATCGAGGGTCCCTACTCCTCTCAGTGGCAGTCAGCCATGGACGCAGAGATGGCTTCCTGGAAGTCCACAGGCACCTACGTCGACGAGGTTCCCCCACCTGGGGCGAACATCGTCAGTGGCATGTGGATTTTCAGGGTGAAGCGGCCGCCGGGTTCTCCGCCTGTCTTCAAGGCGCGTTACGTGGCTCGAGGCTTCAGTCAGCGGCAGGGAGTTGACTACTTTCAGACCTTCTCTCCCACCCCGAAGATGACCACTCTTCGGGTGCTGCTGCACATAGCCGCTCAGCGCGACTACGAGCTTCACTCTCTTGACTTCAGCACAGCTTTCCTGCAGGGCAGCCTGCACGAGGAGATCTGGCTGCGCCGCCCTCCTGGCTTCACTGGGTCGTTTCCTCCTGGTACCCAGTGGAGCCTCCGGCGGCCAGTCTACGGTCTCCGCCAGGCGCCCCGTGAGTGGCACGACACACTGAGGACTACACTTGCGGCTCTTGGGTTTGCTCCTTCTACAGCCGACCCGTCGCTGTTTCTGCGCACCGACACCTCTTTGCCGCCGTTCTACATCCTCGTGTACGTCGACGACTTGGTCTTTGCCACTGCTGACACTGCTGGACTCGCCCACGTGAAGTCCGAGCTGCAGAAGAGACACACGTGCACAGACCTGGGTGAACTGCGCAGCTACCTTGGCTTGCAGATCACCCGGGACAGAGCACAGCGCACCATTACCCTGACTCAGTCACACATGGTGCAGCAGGTCCTTCAGCGCTTCGACTTCACGTACTCCTCGCCTCAGGCCACTCCTCTGTCTAATCGCCACTCGCTCTCAGCTCTGCCTTCGGATGAGTCCGTAGAGCCGAGTGGCCCGTACCCAGAGCTTGTTGGCTGCCTCATGTACCTGATGACCTGCACACGACCTGACCTTGCATACCCTCTTAGCATCTTGGCACGCTATGTTGCTCCTGGGAGACACCGACCAGAGCACATGGCTGCAGCGAAGAGGGTGTTGCGCTACTTGTGCAGTACGTCGGGCATGGGGCTAGTGCTTGGAGGGCGACGTCGAGTGGTCCTCACAGGTCACGCAGACGCTTCTTGGGCTGACGACCAGGCTACGCAGCGGTCGTCACAGGGTTACACCTTCAGCCTTGGCTCCGGCTCTGTCTCGTGGCGGTCTACCCGCTCGTCTTCTGTTCTCGGCTCCAGCTGTGAGGCTGAGATCTACGCGGGGGCCATGGCTGCACAGGAGCTACGCTGGCTCACCTACCTGCTGACTGACCTAGGAGAGCCGCCTCGTTCTCCTCCAGTTCTGTACGTAGACAACAAGGCCATGCTGGCCTTGTGTCGGGAGCACAAACTGGAGCACAGAACGAAGCACATTGCTCTCCGCTACTTCCTTGCTCGTGAGCTGCAGCAGCGTGGTCAGCTGCGCCTTGCTTACGTGGCCTCTGAGGCCAACACTGCTGATATCTTTACCAAGGCACTTCCGCCTGGTGATCATCAGCGCCTCTGTACTATGCTAGGTCTTGTGCCTACTTGGCCTCACTTGCTCACTTCTTGACCTTGCTTGTACTGTGATCTTTCTATACCTGCACTTGCCTGTTTACTTTTATATATGATCTTGCATGTGAACTGGCCTTGTGGCCTTGCTCTTGTGCTCGGATTGTGTGGTGACGTTGTGATCCACCCTGAGCTTGCTTTGCTTTGCCTGACTGGTCTTGTGACCTCTTGTTCTCCCCCACTTTGCCTATGGGGGTGTGTCGAACTTATATCATATAGCTTGTCTAGGCTATAGTGGGGTAGACACTATGGGGTACAGTTTCCTAGGGTTTCCTACTTGTACCCAACCTTGTGCTAGTTCATTCACTCCCCATTTCTTCACAGACTAGTCTTGTTTTTGCATATTTTTGCCAATAGCCGTAGCTAGCCGTAGCTAGCCTTTTTTTTTTTTTTTTTTTTTAATGCTTCCAAACCGTGTGTTTTGACCTGCGATACTCTTACAGCCGGAGCCACTGCAGCGCGAATGGATATAAAGTATGTATGGACCCATACTGTGTTGAGAACTTGTCCATTCATACTGTCCTGTTCTGGACAAAAGTTAGGACGTGGCCCAGACCGCCTCTGATCGGCACGGATCTGATCGGGGCGGATCTGATCGGGTTGCTTGTGATGCATTGCTCGCGCCGCCCGATCAGTGATGATATCCTCGGAAATTCCACGCGCTTGCCCTGCAAGCGCGACATCAATTCGTTATACTTTCGTCCCATTTTGGCGATAACGAAGACGTAGCGAAATCTTTGTTTCCATGTAATCTCGCAAATTACACTTTAAAATATGCATGCACGATGGATTGACGAGCTTAACTAAACACTGTAACTTCATCGCGGGCGTCGCCAAGATCCCCAATCCCACGCAATCAAGTGATCGTGGCTGATTGTGTGTGATTGTGATTGATTGGGGTGTTTGAGGCGGTTGATCGAGTTGGGGCGATCAATTGATCGCGATCACTTGATTGCCCCTGATTGCCTGAAATGGGCCTCGGGGCTTCCGGGAAGTTGTTGATCGTCTCTGATCGAGGCAATCAGAGCCGGTCTGGGCCACGTCCTTAGTCATAGATGGACGGTTTCCCACGATCGACTGACGCTGGCAGGCGTGATGTGATGAGATGAGACGATGTGTCTTCCCTCACCCCGCACACCCCCCCAACAACCCCCCTCCCTCCCTCTTCGTTGCGGTTTTGCTCGCGACAAACCTCCCCCCCTCGCAAACGCCATCCTGAAGTGGCCCAGCTAGTTAGCTGGTTCACTTCCGAAGGATGAGGTCCCGGGATCAATTCCCCCCTGCGGCGTGTCCTGCCAGCCCCCTAGAAGGGGGTTATACAGGTGCTCATCTGGGAGTGGATACAACAACCTCGTTACCCAGCGAGGCGTGTAAACAAATGGGTAGGCGGGTTACGACCGTCAGCCGGGGTAATACCAAGGGGGTTTCCCCATAACCTTTACCTTTACCTTCACCCCTCGCAAACGCCTCTCTGAGGTTTGAAGGAGCAAAAAAACGGAAGACAAATGGACACTGCGCTCCTACAGATCGTTTGTCCAGAGCTTTATCACCGCCTACTTTTTGGCTTATGAGCAATCGAGATTACGAGTGAGTTTACATGGGTTATCTGCTTTTGAATGGTAGGGTAACATTTAATCAAACCAGCCTTGTGCTGTTCTGTGCTCTAATCTAACCCCATTCGATCCTTCAAGTCATTGCCAATGTCCAACTAGACTCCACGAGCTCCTCCAAGTGGACAGTGGTGGACTGGACACCGTCCTTGACCGACCACTGTCGCACACAAGCTACTGTACTTCGTGTTTTGAGTCCCGAAAGTATGTCGGGATGCGGCTCAATGAGGCTTGGTATAATATAGAGCGGTTTTTAAAGAATTAAAAAAGGTTGGGTGAGGTAAAACAATACTAACGTACATGCGGGAGCCGCCCTGATCAAAAGGTTGTCCGATCGATGCCCAATCAATACTAACACACCTGGCCAGTTGAGAGTAGCGTCCCAAACCGAAGCGCCTGGTCTCATTTTCCCGACCTGACTAATCAGCAACCAGCGCGCTTCCTCCATCCAATCCCATCTGACCACAACAGCGATTAGGGAACAGCCGACAGGTTACGGGTGGCTGGCAGGGATGGCATGGAGCTGTACGTTGGTTCGGACGAACCGCCTCCCCTCTCCGGTTTCGATTCCTCCGTTCCATTGCATGCGAAACTGGAAACCCATGAATGATCCATCGCCCCCGCAGAACGACTGAAGACTGAAGAATTCGCTTATGGTCATCCACGGTCGCTGTTCTCCAGCTGTACACTTCTGGTCACCCCATTCGCAGATCTCGTGCGACATTTCTCGTCATTGGGCAATAAGAGCAGCACTTGTACCGCCAGCAAGCAAACTCATCTCTTCACTTAGTCAAGTCAATTGTAAGTTTAGCTCCTTTGCTTGACTAAACTCCCAACTTCCCTGTACGGTCAATTGACTAGCAGCACGAGGCCTTGTTCACGTCAATATTCTGAACAAGTGGGCGTAAGTCTAGTTGCATGTCTTTCTCTCTTACTGGACTGGAGGATCCGAATTTTGCGTGCTAGTCAGTCTCACACGAGTTGATCACAATCGCGAAGCTAGTCTAGTCACACAATTCCAGCCACACTCAGCAGAACTAGGAAGCGCCGCGTCTAAGTAAGTCTAAAGCTCTCCCACATGTCAATCACAATTCATTCTTAATTGATAGGTAGGAAGTTCCCCTTGGTACCTAAAGTTCAACCATCTATTGAACGCGCCAATTGTACCGAGTAACTGGTCATCGAGTCAAAAAATCCTCAGGAGTCTACACTCTTCCGCCATGACCGTTCAGCCCACGTTCACCGAGTCCGCAGCGTGCTTCCTCTGCTCGGCCTTCTGCTCCTCGCTCTCCTCCTCCCGCATCGCCCGGGCGCAATGCGTCGTCGTCTGTCTCATCGCGCTCTGCTCGCTCACGTCTTTCGTCGGCTGGCATCGCGCCGGGCGCCAGCACTGCACGCGATCAGCATGGGGCGGCTGCGACGGGGCGGCGACGACGCGTGCGACGAATACCGTCCAACGACTTCTACTGCAACCAGGCGAATTGTCTGTGCCGTCAAATCCTCTGAAATTGAAAACGGCTGCTTCCTCGCGCGCGTCGAAGTGTCCGCGCGTGACCATCTTCTCAGCGCCCACGGCCTACAATGTCTCCTCCTACTCGCACCGCCGCGCGATCATGTCGTGGCTGCGACTCGATCCCACGCCGCGCGTCGTTCTGCTCGGCACGCACCCCTCGCTGGCGTCGGTGGCGGCGGAGTTTCCGAACCACGTAAGCGTAGATGCTGACGTGGACACGAATCTCGAAGGCACACCGTTGTTGAATTCTGTCCTTGCGCGCATCCAAGCCTTCGGCGCAGCGTCGTCCGCCGCCGCGTCGCCCCACTGTGACTTAGTCATGCTAGTGGATCCGGATGTGCTCCTTTTTAACGACGTCTTATTCGCGGCGCGCCGACTCGCGTCGCGATTTTCCTCCTTCGTCATGCTCTCGGCTCCCTGGGACGTCCACACCTTCCGCTTCTCGCTCGACCAACTCCCTCCGCACATCCACCCTTCGTCCTCCGCGAAAGCCGGCGCTGTTTCCTACCGCTCCTCAGCCGAATCTCGCGACAGGTTCCCCACCCACGTTGCTGCGCCCGCCCCGTCAAGCGGCGCTTTCTCCACCCGGCGCCGCCGATCTGCGCGGCTTTGGGACAGCCCGGATCAGGCGGACTCTGGCGAGGTCAACGGGGCCAACGAGGTCAACGAGCAGGAGATACGAGACTACGTCCGCCAACGCGGGCAGCTGAACGTGGCGGCAGGTGCGACCGTCCTCATGTGGAACCGTCCCGCGGCGCCGCTTCTCCATCCCAGCGTCGCCATCCCACCCTTCTTCCTCGGTCGCGGAAGCTACCTCCGCTGGCTCGTAGCGCGCGCCTCTGGCTCCCTCTCCGCCACCGCCGCCAACGGTACTGACCGTAACGGTGACAGTAACGTTACGGCGCAAGTTGGACGCGCCGCGACGGAGCAGGAGACGGCTGACGAGGCTGGCGTGCCGGCGGCGGCGTCGCGAGACGGCCAGGAGTCGCGATTCGCGGTGGATGCGACGGATGCGGTGACGGCGGTGCGCGTGTTCTCCGCGTTGGACGCGCAGCGGGAGGCGCAGCTCGCCGTCGAGAAACGACATCGCGGCGAAACCGGCGGCGTCGCCGAGAATAGCGCCGGAACTGGCGGCCGGAAGAAGGCCGGATTCGTTTCGCGGCTCGCGCGCTCGATTTCGCCGCGGCAGGTTCCGCAAAGGCGGAGGCTTCAAGGCGGGGCGGAGAGCGCGCACGCGGGGAGATCGCACCACAGCAGCGGAGGGTTACTATCCGGCGAGTCGTCCTCGTTCGGGCAGGGAGCTCTGTGGCAGCCGCTGCCCGGGAAAAACGCGAAGCGGTGGGAGGTGTACGCGAATGCGCACATGGCGCGAGTTCAGCGGCTCGCTGGCGGTTCTTTGGGCCACGCGCCGTGGCGACTCGCTCCCTGCTTCGTGCCCGGAGGTATGCTTTTGAGTTTGTTGATGAATCATCAAGACATGCGACTGTCGCGTTCGATCGTGCTGCGTCGTTCTTCTGGCCATCAGTGGCCAGAGGTGTGCCGTTGCTCGCCCGTTTTTTAATATTATTTATATTCCCGCTCGTCTTGTCTCCAGGTGAATCCATGTGTCTTATGCGACGTCGACGACCTGGTAACTGCTCGTGCGAACATACGCCATTCGCTGGCAGGTCTACGGGCGACACGAGACCGTACGATGCGAACTGGTTATCGTGCGGCGGAAAAGGGATGGAGCAGAATATAGACGCAGATCTTCTCCGGGACTTGCGGTCAGCACCTCACGGCGCGGATTCCGTTCTATCCTCGTTGGAAGATGATTTCGCTCTGGGCCTAGAAGACATGGGTGGGCTTCGCTTGCCATCTTCGACTCAAGCTGAGCCAGCCGTAGCGAAAGATAATTCCCTGACTGCAGCTGCCGCAAAAGCTACACTTTCTGCTAAGAACGGCACTATTCAGTCAACAAAGGGAAAGAAGTCCTTATCGTTGGAGAAGAAGCAAGCTGAAGCGCGTACAACTGCGTTCTGGAGGGGTACTGAGGGCCTGCCGCATTCGCTGGAGCAGCTGCTGCCGATCGTTGCGGGCGAGCAGCAAGCAGTCATCTTATTAGCAGCATCGTTTGAAGACAGAGAGGCTGCTTTGAACAGTATTTGCAGATTGCGCAACCTTGGGATGGGCAACTACATTCTGGCCGCGTTGGATGCCCGAATGTACGCATACGCCTTTCTTCAAGGCATCCCCGTGTTCATGCACCAGGCATCAAATTCAAATCAGTCCGCGAACGCTGCATCATCGAACGACCTGTCATCAGCTTCCCGATTGGCCGCAGTCGCCCCAGTCCTGATGATGCAGATTCTCCGCCTGGGCTATTCCGTCCTGTGGGCTGACATCCACACAATCTGGTTCTCCAACCCCCTTCCCCACCTCCTCTCCCTAGACTCCAACACTCTAGCCGTGCAAAGCATGTCATTGGACATGCATCAAGCACCCAACTCTGCTCGGACCATCGGCGCGGGGGTCATGTTTGCCCGGCCTTCCCACCTGTCTCTCAAGGCGTTGGCTTCGGTGGTGGCTTATACGGCTGCTGTGCGAGCGGAGGCAGGGGAGGAGGGAGGGAGTGCGGGTGGGAGTGCGGCGGAGGGCGAGGAGGAAGTGGAGGAAGTGGAGGAATACAGGGCGTTTCACGATGTGCTGTGTGGCGAGGGCGGCAGATTTAAGGTAAGATCTGAGCTAAGCTGCTATTTCTACAGTATGTTGGCCTCTGTTGCTTGTTCTCTCTTATCCTGCTTCTCGACCTTCGCTCCCATCCCATCCACACACACTCATCCACTTCCCCCCTGCCGCTGTCTCCTACCTTCTTCTGTCTTGGATCAGGCTGGCAAGGACTTGTGCCGGTGGAACAATGGCTTTAAGGTGCTCTTCCTAGAGAGAAGCCTCTTCCCTACTGGCGGCATCAAGGGCGTCTGGGATACTCCTCCGAGCCTGGGAGGCTTGGGCCGGACCTGCGAGAAGCTTGGGTGCATTGCGGTGCAGAACAGTGGGATTAGGGGCCGAGCAGCCAGGGCGGAAAGGCTTCGCGCACATGGGCTTACGGCGTATGATTCAATGAGACGCATCTGCATTCGTAGCTGGGGGGTGGTGGAGCAGGGAGAGGAGCAGGTGCAAAGACACTTCATGAGGAGATGATGGGGGGTGCAATTGATGAGGCTCCGGTCTGACCACAAGTGGGAGACTGCATGCAAAGCATGGTAGTTTTCTTCCAAGCCTACCGAAAGGGGTGCCCGTTCTGTGCCCTGCCCTGCCTTACTCCTGACTGGTTGGCCCACATGAGTCTGAATAAAAGGTGATGGCTCAGGTGGCTAGTGCTGCCATAGGTTTTATCATTTTCCAATGCTTTTAGAAGCATTGCTGTGAATAGTAGGCTAGGGTTGTTTAAGGTGTAAAAGGAAAAGAAGCACCAGTATTTTATTGCAGCCACAGTCTTATCTCTTCATCAAGCGCTTTTCCTGTAAGCATCCCTCGTTCGTTCTATCCGCTTGATAAGCCTAGCAAAATGTAAGCTACCGTAGCTCACTGAAACTGTTAACCTGTGACGGTATTGGTAGAAAAGCAGAGCGGCATACCAGTACCGGTACTGTTGGACCATGGGGTGGGGAGGAAGACATGTTATTTACATACTCTTCAACCCTAATGAACAATGCATTGCATTCCGTTGTGAGGCAGCATCCAGCAATGCAGAGAAATGCACCGAAGGTACACCCACCAAGCACACCAATCAGTTGAATTATGTACACCCACCAACCAACCAGAAGGTACAGTGGGAACTGTTGAGGTAAATTGTGCACACAACATTGTGACACGTCATATGGGCCTGTCACGGCGACCACACATGAAGCAATGTGTGTTTGCTGTGAGAAAGCACACGTATACCCCTCGGAGTGACATGGTGTGACGGACACAGCAATTTTAGGCACGAATAGGAAGGAGATACAGTAGCAGATAGCAAATTACCTCATCACAATCAGATGACATTTGCTTAAGCCTGCTTCCTAAGGTACAGCACTTGTGCTGACATGTGCTCTCCATACTCAGAAGACAGCCAGGGGGCCTGTGACACACACACACACACACACACGCACAAAAAGTGAGGGGAACGGGAAAGGACGGTAATGGGACGGTACGCATGAGCAGCAAGCGTGTCAGCTGAGCATGGCACCCAAAGGCATGTAGTATGGCAACCGCTACAACCCTCTTACCGAGAAGAACAAGGCAAGCCGTACAGTACAATTCTGCACTGGTCTCTTCCTGCCCATGCCACACTATCATCCAGCTATCCTGCCCAGCGCACCGACTTACCAAATAATCGTTCCCTGTGACATTACCACTTGCTGCCGCTGCAGGAATTTAGAGGCGCCTCAAAGGCCACACTGGCTTGCGTAAGTCCAGTGCACTCACCAGGTAGTCGCCCTGTGACGCTGCCACGGCACTTGCTGCTGGGAGTTTTGAGGCGCCTCAAAGGCTGCACTGGTTTGCCGCAATCCAGTCCCAGTGCATGCACTCACCAGATAGTCGGTCCCTGTGACAGTGCCACGGCACTTGGTGCTGCTGCAGGAGCAGGGGAAGGGCTCGCTGTCCACACAGAAGCTGATGGGGAGGCGGCGAACAGGGGACAGGGAAGAGGGAAGAGGGTAGAGGGCAGAGGGCAGAGGGCAGTGGGATCACGTGGGATCACGTGGGATCACGTTTCTGGGCTAAGGTAATGGGTTGACAAGGACCGGCGGTACTCGCTGTAATTTTTTCGCCCTCCGCGGAAAAAACAAGCGAGACATCAGACAATCTCCGAGGCAGAAAAACGAATCAACCCCCTCCCGATTCCCGACTCATTTGGCATAGTCGGTGGTGACCTGCTCGCCCTTGCCTATCGCCCTTGCCTATCGCCCTTGCCTATCGCCTTTGCCTATCGCCCTTGCCTATCGCCCTTGCCTATCGCCCTTGCCTATACCCCTTGCCTATCACCCTTACCTATCGCCCTTGCCTATCGCCCTTGCCTATCGCCCTTGCCTATCGCCCTTGCCTATCCCCTTTGAACAAAAAATAAGCGCGGCACGAAACACTGCCAAAGCGCCGGAAAATATGAACTACATCGAACTTGTTCAACTCACGTGGCATAGTCGATGGTGATCTGCTCGCCCTTGCCTATCGCCCTCCGCGCCGCCACATTCAGGCCCTCCAACCACGCGTTCGGGTCACAGGAGTGGTTCAGAGGCTTCCAGTCCTCTGCCTTTGGGCTCCACATAGCCCACACTCCCGGCCCCACCGGCCACGCATACTGCCGGAACCACAGCTGCTGCTGCGCCGACCAGTGCTTCTCCACATGCTGACGTGTCACCAGGTGCACTGGGGCCTCTTCCAGGAGCTCGATCGTGTCACCTGGGGTGAAGTCGCGGGCGGCGAAGAGACCGAAGCTGGGCGGGGAGTAGGGGCGAGCGGGCTTGTGTGGGGCGGTGGGGGTGAGTTGGGAGTTGTTGCCAGCAGATACCTCTGCAGAAGTTTCAGCAGGTGCAGCGGATGCAGCAGGTGCAGCAGTAGGGGAAGAGGTACTGTTTTGAGGAGTAGCTGGTGTACTGGAGCACTGCTTAACGAGGACAGAGGGCTGCCTGCGCTCCCAGCGCTGCACAGCAGCCAGCAGGATGCGGCGCAGAAAGGAGCGGTGGTCGTTGGACGGGTCGAGCGAGAGGATAAAGTCCGCACTTCCCTGCTGGTCCGGAGGGTAGAAGATGCCGCAGTTGGGGTTCATCTCGAGAAAATAGACGTTTCCTTCGGCATCGGCTCGGATGTCGAGCCTGAGAAGAGGATTGATGGGCAACAGGGGATGCAGGGACGACAAAGTGAGTAGTAGATTGAGGGGCAAAAATAAAATCGAATAAAACGCAAGAGCAACCCGAGAGAAACGAGAGAGCAACATTGGCACAACTTGTGAATCTCCAAAACAAACAAACTCCAACCACGACAGCGCCGTGTCTCATCCATCCTCACACTTCTGTGATTTCGCACTCACTATCACCATACCAATTAATCATGCCTTTACATCTTTCAGCCCAAAATCCAACACAATACCCATGTTGCTCACCTTCCATAGCCAACACCCCCCAGAGCAGTGAACATGGTAGCTGCCATGCTCCTCAGCTTCGCATCCATGCCCTCATCGTCCACGCGCCGCCACTGCAGCCCCTCGTGCTCCACCCACTTGAGGTCAAAGTGCTTGAACTCCTCGCCTGGAGGGAACCCGCACTCCACTGGCGCATACACAAACACACCGCCTGATTGCTTTGCACTTGCAGGTTTCTGCTCTGCTGCTGTTGCTGTCCCCGCTTCAGGATCCTCTGATACAAGCACAGTGAACTCACGCCCTGCGACAAACTCCTCCACCATAGCAGACCCAAAACTCGTTATCATCACACCCGCTTGCGTCTTCAGCTCCTCTACAGTCCCGCACTTGGAATCCCGCGTCATCCCCACACTATTGTACCCACTTGCATGTTTCACAATCACAGGCATGCGAAGCACCCTCGCAGCTTCCTCCACATCCCGCGAATCATAACACACACGCCAGGGGGGCGTGGGAACCCCGTGATAAACGGCCACGATTTTCATCTGCTCCTTACTGGGCTCATAGCAGTGCGAATCCGCCCCTGTGAAGGGCACGTTGAGCCGCTCTAGAGCCTGCACGACCTCTATCCCCGGCCGATCCTCGTCCCACGCGCCGTCGCAGAGATTCAAAAACACATCGAACGGTGCAGATGCATCGGTGGTAGAATCCTCATCATCCACGGCGCTGCTGCCAAGGCTGGAACCATCGCTGGTGGAACTGCCATTACTGCTGGAACTCGCGCTGCGGCTTGCGGAGCTCGTGGAGCTGTCACCGCTGGAACGAGCATCGCGTGGCTGTTCCTCTTGTAGATCTAGCTGCGCCAGCGGCTGTTGTTCTCCTTCCGTCAGGCCCTGCCGCGGGAGGGGGTTGTCGCACGAGGGTAGTCCATTACCCGGGGCTGGTTGCCCTCCCGAGGGTAATTTACCCGCGAATTGACGACTGGATTGCTGGCGGCGAGTGAGCGCGATGAGCTGCTTAACGGCTGTAGCCTTATGCAGGTGCACGGACGTGACATGGTGCTCTGGCGGGTCCAGCCACAGCTGAGGAACGGCGTCCGGATCGAGCCCGTTGCAGGGCGACAGCGAACCATCGTACGACGGGTGGAGCACGCAGATCTTCATGTCAACGGCTGCGATCGCTTGATAGCTTTGCAGGTCACGGGCGGAATAGCCTAGGATTCAGGCTGTTTGGTGGCGAGCAGAAGAATAAGAATCCTGCGCCTCGAGGAGGTGTTCAGATCAAACTGGGAAGTCGAAAAAGCGTTGAAAAATGCAGGAAATCTCGTGATCGCGCAATCTTCGCGTTTCTCGTCAGATGGAACGGAAGATACAGGAAGATGGTGGCGAAAACCGTCGGATGTAAAATCGGACGACGCTTGCCAAAAGGGTAGGGCTAGGAAGAAAGCAAGGATAGGCTGCTAGTACGAGGAAAATTGCTCTTCTTCCCTCGCCATCCCCAATTCGTTGTGAATCGAAGTTGGATGCTTGATCGCGATACTCTTATAGGGAGGACGCAGCTCACGTTTCCCGGACCGCTTCCCAAACCGCTCCCCTCCCTCTCCCCCGCTCCGTCATCCGCCTCTCACATTCTAGAGATCTGCACACTTGGGATAACCGTTGGAGCTTGGATGAGAGCGTGCCACGGAAGTGTCAAATGAACCCTAATGACGGGAGGCTTGGGTCTCGCATGAGCGCCAGACGACGCTACCATGGTTCTCCCACTCGCCTGCGGGGCTACCCCTAAATGCGATACGCGACATGCATGTGTAACCTCGAGGTCGCTGGCCATTAAAATACACGCCACGCTCGATGATTCTGTCACTGGATGCGGCTCGAGAGGATCGAGACGACAACATCGGGGCTCGAGAGAGAACTTCGGCAGTAGGCTGAAGTGGTTTTGGGAAATGCAGCTGAACTGACGAAACTTGAGAGCTGCATTCAATTCCTGGGGATAGGTTGAATTGCTTTGGCAGTGGTTCGTCGAGTGTTCGTGGAGGGGAGGTTTCATGTCGGTTGCTGTTGCGTTGGTCAGTGTCGAGTTATTGCTCGCCTCAAATAGTATTAGTGACAGATACAACAACACTAATACAGAATAGGTTTCTAGCATACATTACTACAACCTCCTTCCAATTGTCCCATGCTCTTTTAGCCATAATGTATGTCCTTTCAGTCTATGGGACGTTAAAAACTTGATTTTTAAGTCTATTAAGTAGGAATATATACAATCATTAAGATTTTCTTGTTATTGCATAGATTACCATTCTCAGTTTCTTGAAACCCTTGTTTGTCATGTCATTGTGCACAGTTAAAACAAAAATTCTAACATATGTATGGATGAGACATTTCTTTATGTTCTAGCTGGTTCAGCCTATTGTTTTCGTTCAGAATCACCCACGTACTTGCCTAGCTAGTTTCTGCCTATACAGTAATAACATCGTTTTGAGTGCCTTCAGTTGACCTCTCTCTAAGAACTGCGTAACTCGCCTTTTAGGGGGGATCCAGGTGGTACGATTCGCCTGGTACGCGGTCGAATTCGTTGCGTCTGGGTGAATAGACGATGAACAACAAATACCGCTTTCCACCGTGTGGAGCCGTCCTGAGCCACGAAGCATGAACAAGCTAAACGCACGACCTGGGTATCCCCGAAAGCCTTCCGTTTTATTGAGTCAAACCACACGTTTTGAGTGTGTTGATGGCGCAAAGGGCAGGTCATGAAAAGTTCGTTCTCTGTTCATGCATAGACATACTTTCGGGCTGGTGAGTAGCGGTTCTAAGTGGTGAATCGAGAAATGCGCTCTGGACTGCACAGTATTGTACTCAACCGCTTGTGTTGAACTGAAATTGGAAAAACTTTTCCAGACCTGCCCACATGGCGAGCGAACGCGTTCACGCGCATCACGTTTTGGAAAAACTTCTACGTACAGAGTATTAGGGCAGCGGGCAGAACAAACATAAAACCCAATCGGAACAGAATGCGACTCGGAACGACTTCAATTATTGCTGATCTCATGAATTTCAAAAGAATTTCAAGCCAAACACCATCTTCAAGCGTGATACTACCCGAGCGCTCAATATACTAGGAGATGATCGTCTCCCCCCCACACCACCAACTTCAGTACACTGGGACAGAACAACGATCGGTCAGAGCCAGAACTGCGGCAGGCGCGTGACATCACTCATCCTGATTATTGCATTGGTAGCAGCCTGTTTCTTAGGAGACTCTTGTGGGGCGAAGGTATCGAAAAGGTCACCTCACTGAAACTCTTTTTCAATCGCGACGACGTGGCGTGTTCACGAGGCGAGTTCGGCGCTGTGATCCTGTCGTGTCCGTCGCCGCCTGACATTACTTGGATCCTGATCCAGCAGGACGCGGCGCGGCACATTCAGGAAGCCCCTCCTTTCAATCCCGAGGAGCGCCATGGCTCGCGATGACACTGCTGACGAGAGACCCTCGCGGCTGTCTGCGGAGTCTGCGCAAGAAGCAAGCGGTTCCCTCAGGCTGGTCGAATGGATTCAACTCCAAGACGGAAGGAACGATGCCGATTCGCGCGATAACGTAACGGTCACTGTCACGGTACCGACGCCGCCGGTGGCTGTAGGAGGGGAATCTGCAGACGAAGGCTCGGCTAATGCCGAGAGAGAGTCGCCGCCGCGTGGCTCGGAGTCCCGGAGCGGCTGGTTTTGGAGCAGACTGTTACGTGGCGTAGCGGGCGCATGGCGCGCGAATCGCGCCACCCGTCCGTCTCTACCGCGGGGAGAGGACCAACGTGGCGGCAGCGCGATCTGCGAGGACGACCTTCCGCTGATTGGCGGCGTAAGAATTGGTACCGACTTCAAGCAATCATCTGCGCTGCTACGGAACGAGTCGTCTAGCTCCAGAAAATCGGAAAATAGCAGCCGCAGCAGCAGCGGGAGCAGCAGCAGGAGCAGCGGAAGCACCTGTGGCAGTAGCCGCGGCAGCCGCAGCACCGGCAGCAGCAGCAGCAAGAGCAGCAGCAGTGAATCACTATCATCAGACAGCGAGAGCGAGAGCGATGATGAAGGCAGCATGGTGACGGTGGCACTAGAAATGGAGGGCACCTCTGAAAAGAAACATTGGGCCAAGGCGGCGGCAGAAGAGTCGCTCCCATTTGACCCATTTGACTCGTTTGACTCGGAGTCATTTGATCTGAACGCCAAGGAGCCAGAACCTGCCGCCTTGGCTGCCCGCCCTGCCCATCCCGCTGCTCTGCATGGTGCGTTGACCAGGTCACGTCACGAATCTTTAGCTTCCTTGACTTTGAAATCTACAGGGGTCAGAAAACCAAAAAGTGAACAGTCACTTTTCCGGAGTTTTCCGGACATGCCTTTTTCGCGATGACAGGGTTCGTGATTCCTGCAGCGTCTCCTTTGTGTCTTCTCTTCTCTCACTTCCTCCCCTCCCTCTCCCTCACTTTTTGCAATTGCCTCTAATCCCTCTCCACCGCTGCTCTCCACTCCCCGTCTTGTCCCTCTGCTGCCGCAGCCTTTGATTTAACCAGTGCCTTGTACCGCCTTCCTTCTCCATTCCCTTTCTCACCTGCCTCTCCACCTCTGCAGCTCTGTACTGGACGCACGCTTTCAACTGCTTCGGCGAGCAGTCGTGGCGCTTCGCCAGGGCGGCCATGCTCTCGTTATTGTTTCGCTCGTTACTGCCAGTGGCGGTGGCAAGCTTTGTCAGCCGGGTGAGAACACGCGGCTATGCCCTCTCACACCGGCACACGTCACATGCACACATACGCACGCATCACATGCCGTGACTCATCACATGTACACATGCTCTCCCCACCTTTCTTCCCTCTTCTCTCTCTCTTTCCGCCTCCATCTCTTCCCAACCCCTTCCCCTTTTCCCCTCTTCGCCTCCCACGCATCCCAACTCGAATGTCCAATAGCTGGTGGTATTCGCAGCATGCCCCGCCATAGGAGGCCTCATGGACTCGGCTCCGAGAGTACGAGCCTACAGCACTCTCGTCTTTGTCCACTTAAGCATGGAGATCCCTCAAGGCTGTTCACATGAGCATGAGGGTTCAGAATGGAGTGAATACATCGTGTGGAGTGGTTTGCAGTTTCCCACTATGTGCTAACAGATTTTGCTGCCCTGACGCCTTCCATTCAATCCCCCTTCTGTCCTTTTCATGCCTCTAAAGCACACCCCCTCATCTCCTCCTCCCGCCTTCCCCCCTCCACCCGCCCACTCTCCGGCCCTCGTTTCTCTTCTCCTCCCACCCCGTCGTCTTTCCACCTCCTCCTCCACTCGTTTCTCAAGTACTTTGGTATTCCGCACTTTGCTAATAGATACTTCGCTATTTTGTACTTCTTTGTTATTGAGTGAACCGTATACCGTATGGCCCCGGATATAAGCGCAGGCCTATGTTAAGCGCATGCGCTTATATCTGGAGCAATGCGCTTATGGCCGATCCTCAATTATAAGCGCACCCCTTATAAAACCCTGATTTATTATAAGCGCATGTATAAACATATTAAAAAAAAACCGAATTAAAACAGTAACGACTTCCCGTTTTGAAGCGAGTCCACATCCACTTCTAGTCTGTTTGACTCCCTCGAGGGCGGGCTCGCTCAGGAAAAGCGCAACGGCGCGAAGTTGACCTGACAGGGGGGCTCGGGAACACCTGTTGTCTGTGCGCTGCGAGCGAGCGACTGCAGGCTATTGGTCGTACACTGGGGCAAGCCTGTGCGATGCGAACGAGCGACTGCAAGCTATTGGTTCGTACACTCTGCTGGGGCGAGCATGACACATTCCTATGCGAAAGTGACGTGTCCTTGCCCTTGTGCGCAGGCAGAGAATCGCCCTCGCGCGATTCTGATTCAGAACGCTCCACACATTTCGATTTGAATGAAATTGCAAGACTCTAATGCACAGTTTGGTGCGTTTATAACATATTTATGTGTTTGTCATTATATAAGCGCATGCGCTTATAATTTTGACTCATTTATAAGCGCACCCCCCTAAAAAACACTGTTTTATTATAAGCGCAGATGCGCTTATATCCGGGGTATTACGGTACCGCTATAGCTGCGAGCTGCGAGCTGTGAGCTATGAGCTGTGAGGGCATTGATCGCTCTACCATGTTCCAGGGGATGCCGCCGAGCGAGCTTGCATGCTGCCAGAGCCTGCATGACTCATGTGGGTGTACCAGAGGTGTGAGGTGCAGGAGAGATGCATTTCCCTTAAAAAGGGGCTCTTTTTAAGTTGAATCGTTTTCGGAAAGCGCAGCTTACAGGTGGGTGGAACCAGTTCTAGTCAACACGATCCCTGGACTTGATATTACAACAAGTGCCATTATGCCGTAAGGGCAGGGATGGCGTTACCCTTACAGTCAAGCCTTACCTTAATCTTCCTTGCTCTCCCCTCTGCTACACTCTTCGGGTTACCTTACTCTCCCCCTCGCTCCACGCCACGTGCAGGTGGCAGCAGCACTCATCTTTGGATGGCTCATTGCAGCCTGGGGCCCACTCGTCTGCGCCAAAGCATGCCTCGCCCTCGTTGCACTCTCCCTCCCTGCCATGGTTTGTATTCACCCCACGAATGCTCAAAAGTATACTCGATACTCGATACTGAAAACTGGATACTGGATTCCTTTTGAGACTTCTCAGAAGTCACATTGCACTTTCCCTCCCTTCCATGGTGTAAGCTTACCCTTCCTTCCGCGTGTGAGCTTACCGCACCCTGCCTGCATGTCTTCATGACTTCTCTCTCACTTTCCCTCCCTCCCTTCCTCTCCCCCTCCCTCCTTCCCACCTCCCACTCCCCCCATCCCCTTCTCGCCCCCCTCACCCCTCCCCCTCTCGTCCCCCCCTTTCCCTCTCATTCGCACACGCATACGTACACACGCACGCACACCTCATCCCCACGGCAGCTCGCTCTCACGCGCCTGACAAACCATCTCTCCAATGGAGCCATCAGCCAGTCTCGGACCCTCGAAACGTCCCCTGAATCGACACAAGGATCGTTGCGAACGGCATTCGGGTCGATTAGGATAACACCGGGGAGTTTTCGGTCAACACCACAATCACTTCGGCTGACGCTCGGTTCGTTTCGATCGACGCAAGGGTCGATTAGGTCTACGCCAGAATCACTTCGGTTTATTCCAGATTCGCCACGTGACTGTGTTGTTAGCGTCGATTGCAATACTCCTGATGCTGCTGCTGCTGCTGCTGCTGCTGCTGCTGCTGCTGCTGCTGCTGCTGATGCTGATGGTGGCGTCCTTGCTTCTGGACCACCGCCAGCATCACTCTGCATGGTAGCTGTTGCAGCAGCACTAGCACCAGCATCAACACCACCAGAAGCAGCAGCAGCAGCAGCAGAAGAGGCGATCCCTCACCCTGCCCTTTCATCCCAGCAGGCACTTCCAAGAAGCTCAGCAGTAGGAGCACCAGCAGAGGGGATGGGAAGTCCAGATGGGATGGGAATATTAGTGGCAGGCGTGGCAGCATCAGCAGTGGTGGACGCAGTGGGCTGGTTGAAACGGGTGGTTGAAGCAATGGGGAAAGGGTTTCGAAGCTATGTGAAACAGCTGGTGATGCCTGCGAGTATGGCGTATGTGCTGCTGTGCTTGAATGGTGTTCTCACACCTGGCGGACTCATGACCTCCTACCTCACGCTCCATGGTGAGTGCGTCACTCCACACGCATGTACGCACATATCCACAGAGATCAATGCGCGCATGAACGCACATACGCATGCACACACACATGCACGCATTCTCACGCACACATGCACCCACGCACGCACACACACCGCGCCCACAACTCCACCTGAACCCACTGCCAAGCTATATCCCAAACCTCAACCCCCAAACCCCAAACCCTGATCCTGGCAGGGGTGCACATGGGCGTGATAGGCGAGTTCAACAGCGCGTGTGCCGCCATGGGCTTCGTGGCTACGTTCGTGTCGTCGCCGCTCGTCGCTCACCTTGGCGTTCTACAGGTGAAGTGGGAGAGGCAAGGGGCGATGCTGAGAGAGGGAAGGGGAAAGGGTGCGGGCGGTGGGAGGGATTGTGTGTTGCGAGATCAACAAGCACTTAGCTGACTATAGAACGTGAGATGAAACAAGGATTAGATGCCAACGCCCTCTCGCTCCTCCTCCTTAGCGTCCCCCATCTTCTATCGTCCTCTCCCTTCTCCTCCATCTCTTCTCTCCTCCGCATCTGCCCGTCAGGAAAACCCTCACACCCATCCCTCACTCCCCTCTTTTCTGTTTCGATCCTGTCTCTACCTTCTCCTCTCCCTCCTCTCCCATCCGTCTCTCCCTCTGCTCTCTCTCCCTCCCAGGCCGGCAGTGCGGCGCTGATCTATCAAGCGCTGTTGGTCTTCCTCTTGCTTCTCACCTTCTCGTCGATCTCGTTCGCGCCGCCTTCTCTGCACCAAGGCCTGCTGCTGCTCTTCCTCCTCATCATAGTGAGTCTGCTACTATCGAGGAACTCCTTACTGCAGTATCTCCCATCATGCTATACCTATCGCGGCACTTCTTATCGTGGTGACGGGAACACGCCGAAAAAGCGCCGGCCACTGATCGAAAAGCGCCGAATCCCCACTTGCCCACCTCCCCGCCACCCCTATCCCTGGCAGGTGCTCTCCCGCGTGGGCCACTTGACATTCGAGCTGGCCTAATCAACCCAGTTCCCCACCTCGTCGCCACCCCCATTCCCCGCCAGGTGCTGTCCCGCGTGGGCCACTGGACGTTCGAAATTGTTGGCACACAAGTTATCCAGACGGCCGTTCCTGCCGCATCCGCCAACTCATTCGGATCCACACATAGGGCGCTCGCCAGTTTCGCAGAGCTTCTCATGTTTGCGCTCGCCATAGTTCTCCACGATCCCCGGTATTTCGGCGCGCTCGTGCTCATGTCCGTTGCTGTCATCTTCGCCGCGGCTGCGCTCTACTGCTCCTGGCTGGCTTGGCCGAACCCGAGGCTGGCAGAGTTATTTCCGAACCAGCCGGAGGCTTGGTGGAGGAAGGTGTCGTGTGGAGAAACGAAGTTGGAAGAAAAGGAGAGGGTGGAAAAAGCTCGGTTGGGTGGCAAGAGATGCAGATTGGGCGAAATACAGGAAGTGGAAAGCTTTTGGGGGTGAAGTTGTGTGGTGGTGGTGGATCGAAATGTGGTGATCCAGCCAGAGCAATGCAGAGGCGCTAATTGCTACTGCGGGGTTTCGGGTTTGAACTTCGAGAATTGATGGTTATGATGGTGTGGAGCACCTCCGATATAAGCCGCAGCGGTTAGTCGAGCATGTTCTCTGATTGACTCGCCTTCTCTTCAGACAGCTCTGAGGGTATATGTATCGTAGCACCATGTGTGTAGAATGTGTAAATCAGCGACCTTTATATACTAAATCATACAAATGTACTATCAGTAATTCCCTATCAGAGTGTTGCGTGTGTAGACTTCATCATGTCTCGAAACAGCAGGCATGAATCTCTCAAGGACCTAGACAGAAAGAGGAAAAGGAGGGAAAGAAAGACCCAACAAGGAGAAGGGAAATGAAGAAAGAAAGGGAGAAGGAAAGTGAAACTGCCACAAAGAAACCAAACGCAACACACATAAAACCCCCCCTCAAGATACCCAATCAAAACCCCCAATCAAGACACCCCATCAAGACGTCCCATCCCACACCCCACTCCCCCCCCCCCAATCACAACAGCGTATCCACCATGTACGGGGCCTCCACCCAAAGAACCCCGCCTTCCACATCGACATCGTCCCTCTCCCGATCGACCAAGTCTACGTTAATTCCCCCCATGGAAGACGCCGCCCGAAGCAGGATGACTCGGGCCTGCGCACGTTGTAACGCCACCCCGAGGGGGTGAACTGCACGCCCCGGTTGCGTGCAAGCAGAGGCGCGTAATCACTCGCTTTGCGACGCTCCCACTCTCTTGCAGCCACACCTATTTGACGCCCGCACTGTCCTAACAGGGATGGAGACAGCGATAGCGGGTCCGCGACGCTGATCTCTAGGGCGTGAGCCTCTCCAGCCATTGGTCGTCGCACCGCCACATCAACCCGCTTCCCCTGCAGCACCACACTATCCTCCATTGTCACCACCCCCCCCGACGCCTTAGAGATCTTCGCCACCGCAAACTTCACCTCATCGTGCACCCGAGATGGACCATGCTGGTGCTTGCATCTCAGGGCATGATGCGGGTCTGCTGGGTCAACATACACTGTATCACAAACACACCTCCCCGCCACCTGCAGCTGCTGAATTGGGAGCCCGAGCCGTATAGCAGTAGCAATGCCCCACTCGGCCGCAGCGAATGTGAGATCTGAGTGAGCCGGAACCGCCGAGACCCATGCACCCGCCCCCGGGCCCTGAAGGGATGTGAAACGGGCCAAGGTAGCATCGTCACGAGCCAAACGGCGCAGTGCCTGGAGCTCCTCTACAGCTAACTGCCGCTGCCGTGCCTGGAAAAGCCGAACAGGAGGGGCCGCTACACACAGAGGTAAGCCCGGTATCTCCTGGCGGATAGTCGCTGGCAGCTGCTCAAGAGCCTTGGCAAACCACGGGTCAAGAAACTCTGCCCCTGTCGAAGTGGTGAGGTACTCTGCAAACATCGCCTCCTCGCCCGCCACCCCTAACCGTGCAATGTCACGCGCGGCCTGCGCCCACCCGCAAACATAGGACAATGGGCTCAAAGAGGCCGCCGCCCGGATCCCGAACCCTCCGCGTCGCACAGGGAGATGCAGCTGCATGCGTGCGCGCCTAGACCGGTCGGGGTCCTGCTCCCAAGTGCCAGGTGGGAAAAGCTGCTCGAAACAATCCTCTAAACAGCTGTCCCAATCCCTAAAAGCCTCAACCACCTCCGGGCGCGGCGGCATAGTCCGGGCGAGGTACATCGGCCGCGCTGAAACTGCAATGGCGAGGAGGTGTGAAGCCATCTGGGGGTGGTCGAGCAAGGGGAGCCACGGCAGTGGCGCCTGCAACTGTCGAAGCCGCTCCCGTAGCCGGACCACCTCCCAAACCTCCTCCCCAATAGGCACGCCCACCACAGTAAGACCCTCATCCACCCGCTGCATCCCCAATGGCAGTGCCCGCTCCACCTCCCCGCCCTCGCGCTCCCAAAACCGGCACTTGTGCGCCTGCACCTCCAGCCCCACCCACTCCAACCGCTCCCGCAGCACCCCAAAAGCCTCCAAAATCCTAGCCGCTGGCCCCAAAATATAGGTATCGTCTGCATAGCTGAGAAAAAGCAGGTCCCCGAACTCCCTAGTAACCGGCTCCATCACCAGCTGCTGCGTGAACGCGAAAAGAAAAGGGCCGAGCGGGTCCCCCTGCCTCGATCCCCATGCCGACTCAAGGCTCTGTACGAAAGGGCCTGCTCGGAGGTATAGGTCGCTAGGTGTCCCATAGAAAACATGCAAGAATGGGATCATCCCTGAGAAAGGCGACTCCCGCAGCCCATCGAACATCGCATGACGGTGAAACGAATTGAAGGCGTTTGCGACGTCTATCTGTAGCGCACACCAGTCGGGGTGAGTGGCCAGCGCTGACCGGAAAGAATGAGTGAGAATCTCCGCCCCGACCCTGGTGCCCGCTCCCAACTGGTTGCACGGCAGGAAGTAGGAAACCATCGCAGGGCGGAGCGAGATGCAGAGAGCTCGAGCAAGGATACGAGGAAGCACTTCCCCGATCGCCACCGGCCGGACGTCGCCGTTAGGTTTGGAAAGCCCGACTAGGTTAGATGCGGCAAGCCACGGCCGAGCTCGCTCGGGGACCTGTCCAGCCACCCATTGGTTTAACACTTCCAGCAGGTGGGAAAGGCACGCAGGTTCAGTGAGGAAGGTGTCGCGCAAATGCTCTGTGACCCACCCCGATGGCCCTGCTGCTGAAGCTCGAGCGGCTGTATGGATGGCTCTGGCCAGGATGTCGGTCGTGAGTGAAGGCCGCTGAGCAGTATCGACGGTGAAATCGCGGACCCACTGTGGTACCTCGCCAGTGCTAGCCGGGTGCTTCTCTCGCAGCGACTGCACCATGGCCTCAGACGGTCGAGCCAACTCCCCTGCTGTAAGGCAGGCCAAACCACGGCTCCACTCCCCCACTTTGCACCGAGATCGGCACCGTGATAGGCGGATGGCGTCCGGGTCCTCGTCAGAGCAAGTGTAGGAAAGTGGGCGAACTGCTGGCCGCGCTGCCACCATGGCAGAGTCGAATAGCTCCCGCCACCTCCCCTCCCAGAACGCACCCAGCCGCTCTGTGATCTGCGCCTTCTGACCTATGCCTGGCTTGGGAGGCACGGCCAGGATGAGGCGCGGAAACGCCAAGAGTAGGAGGGTAGCGGCTTCATCCCCCGGTTGGCTCTTCAAGCGCTTTAGGATGCAACAGAGCGCGTCTAAAACCCCCGACCTGGCCCGCTGTGGAATCCGGCGCACTGTCCTCCCTCCAACCGCCTCCACACTGAAAAATGTTTCCCATTCCCATGACGTGACCCCAGCCCACGCCTCGTCCCCAAACTCCCGCGACGCCGGTCGCTCCTAGCAACTAGAATGTGTGGTGCATGTAGATGGTAATTTATGATAGTGGGTTAGTTTTAATATTGGAATTCTCCTGGTGGGCTGGGTCTTGAAGTGTATTCATGATGTAGTGTATTGTGTAATGTAAAATATTGTGCTATTAGAATCTACGTAACAAATCAATTTGGATGATGTATCGGATGTTAGAATAAAGAAGAGATATTCGATCTGATAAGTCTGCTAGGGTAAATAGTGGAAATATTTATAGTAGAACCTTGATGATAGTGAATGTAAATTACAAGATTGATTATAATGAAACATTACAGGCAATATCTACCGTATTACCCCGGACCCGGATATAGGCGCATATGCGCTTATAATAAATTCGATTTTTTCAGGGGCTGCGCTTGTAATTGGGTAACGGCCATAAGCGCCGGCGCTTATATAATGGCAAAAATGAATCTATTATTTATATATACCAGATCGAAGCCCGCGATAAGGCGGATACAATTGTGTAACGTGCGTGTGGGATCATGCATGAAATCCCGCCGAAAACTGCCGCACTTCGATTTCCGGCCGCACAAAGCCCGTCCAGGAGCAGCCCACCTGCCAGCGCTGACGTGAAAGTTGCCATGCGGCCCAATCAGGCTTTCATGCGCTGGCAGGCAGCTGCATTTCACCCGAACCATCGAGAAGGGGTTGGAATGCACCGCCAACGCAGCATGTTCGTGCCGCGATACCCTCCTCTCCGGGTTCAGACACGGGGTACCCGTCTCTCCCCGACGAGGACCCCGAGGCGCTAACCAGAAGGGGTCCCTTTGAATCTCTAATTTGTTCTCCCGTTCTCTCAGTTTCTCGTTCCGTTTCTTGGTCACTCCCGCCTGGCTGCGGAAGCCATGGCGTTATTCAGCGGCACACACTTCTTGTTCAAGAAAAAACCTACGCAAAGGCCCGCGTTTAGAGTAGACGCTGACGGGTGGTACTCTCGTATCCCACCAGAACCACCAGAGCCACCACAGCCTCCTGCGCCTCCTG